GTCACCTTCCTGACATGCAGACGTGACTGTGTCACTGATTGCTGGAAAGAGCTCAAGTCACTCCCTGCTTCCTGCATAAAACCTGGAGTCCTGTGATTAGTCCCACCCCACGTGGTTCTCGCCACCCCCCACGCTCCCACCCCACGTGGCTGTCGCCCCCTACACACACTCACTCCCAGACGCCCTGCCCTGTTCATCACCGTCAAGACCCACCTCCAGCGTGGTCTCTTCCTGGGGACCCGCCAGCCCCTCGACGGGCTGCCCCCTTTGTGATGACATGACGCCCTGCGGGTGTGTTTGTCCTGGTGTCGCCACACTCTGCTCGCTCAGCAACCACCGACTGAGTGCCGGTGACTGGCCGCGGATCGGGTGCAGCGAGGGGAGTGGTCCTGAGAGGCTCCGAGCGGAATCACCGACACATCTAAGCCCCCGGGACCATAAGTGCCCTGAACTGCGGATCTCTGTCTCTCCCTCTGACTCTGCACAGCACAGGCTCCGGCCCAGAGGAGGCTCCCAGAACAGACACACTCTGGGGCCCGAGCCGGGCAGGGCCTCCCCCTCCAGGCCCAAAGGGAGCCGTCTGGCCTGCAGGGGCCCCCGACGTGCTCGGTCAGTGAGGGCGCTCACACGGCTCACTGCAGACAGCGGAGCAGCTGCCCGCAGTGCTGTTGCGTCTGTGCCCACCATTCCCGGCAGTGCGAATACACAGACAGACAGAGAGACAGACAGGGTTTCTGGGAAGAAAAGAATTATAATCGGCAACAAAGCCTTGGAAAACTGTCCTTTCTCAAAGAAAGGTTGTGAACTCCGCCGTAAGGGTCTTACTCAGGCCTGGGCCAATTTCAGGGAGATTCAGTGCTGACTGCCAAGTGCCCCGAGTCTGCTGCCTGTGGTGCCGGGCGGGGCTGACGTGGGACTGACAGGTTGTGCAGAGCGTGAGCTGTGCACTTACTCTCATGAGCAGACGTGTACGGTGAGTGGGCCATCATGTCTACGGATACAGTTTTATCCCCGGAGGATTCAGATCCAGTACATCCAAAGCCTTTCCACAGCGTGTATATGCTTTTCCTATTTCACATGAATGTCCACGTGTTGATGTAGTCTGCATGGACTAACCCTTAGTTTAAAGCGTGTGTTTGTCAGACGTTAATAAGCCTGTGCGGTCGGCCGCACGGTGTGTAAGTGCTTCCCAAGCCGTCCTCGGGGACACAGTCAGGGTCTCCGTGTTACCATGTGGAATGGTAGTCATAGGGACTAGGCGATGAGGCAGAGCGCTGGTAGTGAGCAGACAGGTGCCAGCTGCACGTCCCTGTCACTGCGCTCCTGGCCGGGCACCGCGTGCGCACGAGGGCCTGGCGCGCTTCCATCTCCCGGCGCCTGCGCGGATGGCGTCCGTGCCCACGCTTAGCGCTCTTCGCCTGGGCTCCTACTGCCCTGATGCCCAAGGCAGTAACACAGATCCTCTTTCTCTCTTTCCAACAGCGTGTATGGCTGCCCCTTGGCTAAGAAACGGAAAACACAAGATAAACAGCCCCAAGAACCTGCTCCCAAGCGAAAGCCGTTTGCAGTGAAGGCAGACAGCTCGTCTGTGGATGAGTGCTATGACAGCGACGAGACGGAGGACATGGACGACAAGGAGGAGGAGGAGGAGGAAGAGGAGGAGGAGGAGGAGTACTCGGAAGACGAGGAGGAGCAGAGGGACGACGAGGACGAGGAGGCGGACCGGGAGGAGGAGGAGGACGACGAGGAGGAGGAGGAGGAGGACGGCGAGGACGTGGAGGACGAGGAGGAGGACGAGGAGGAGGAGGAGGAGGACGAGGAGGAGGAGGAGGAGAACGGTAATCTCTCAAGCACTACCCGGTGTCACAGGGGGACTCAGGCGCGTTTTCCAAGGAGAGCGGCCTGGGGTTCGGGCCCAGGACGCGCTAATTAGCGCCGGCCACGTGGCCGGGCTGGCCAGGCCCTGCTGGGAGGAGTAACTGCTCGTGCGTCTAACTTTCTTTTGAAGAGTTTCTTAGATTATCTGCTAGACGTTAGATGTTATCTCCGTCCCGTTGCTATTCAGATTGGTCGTCACAAAAATTTGCTGACATATTTATGGCATCCGTATGGCTTGTCTTACAGCTCTTCTACAGAGAGGTGAGCTGGCACACTGGGACCTTAAATTTGCATTTTCTCCGATGCCCTAGCCAAGAGGTCCTGTTACTGTCCACCCCAGTGGCGTTGGGCTAGCCTAGCCCACACGCCTCCCCAGAGCTGGAAGCTTTGTGTGACCACTGGTGTGTCAGCTGGGGAGGCAGGTTTTGTCACCGATGGCCAAAGCTCTACTTTAGTGACTGTCAGAGGTCGGGACCAGGAGGGACGTAGCTGAAAGGAAGTAACTGGTCGACCCGCCATCTGTTTCCATGTTCGAGAAGGATGTTTCTGATCCAGCGTTGTGAGCGAGACAGACATGTGAAAAGCCCACTGCAGGGGTAGTGGCGCGTTTGGGGCAATCAATTCAAGATGACTTTGCTCTGATAGCCAGTTTTCTGTTAGTGTCAGACTCAAAAATATGACCTTAAAGCCAGTCCTTTCACAAGAGTCAGTTTTTTTCTAGAAAGAAGGGGGAGTTTTCTGGAGTCTAGTTAGAGTCTCTACTGGCTTGGAGTTTGCCTCAGAGAAACGCTGAAACAGGCTTAAAAAGTGAGGAAGGGGGGAAGGAAATAGCTCAGTGGCAGAGTGCATGCTTAACATGCACGAGGTCCTGGGTTCAGTCCCCAGCACCTCCGTTGAAAAGAAAGTGAAGGTAATATTTCTTCCTCACTCTTCTTCCTTGGCTCAGAGCTCTTCACGACTGAATCTTGAGGAAGACGACTTCTCTACACAAAGGGCAGTAGTTTCAGCCAGAGAACTGAGTGCTTTTAGGTCCAATAGGTGTGAGTTACTTGTTGCTAATTTTGTGTGGTGGGCACATATGAACATTCCTCCTTCAGAAGCCACACTAGTTGGTTCCAGGAAATCTGAATTTTATGAAGTCATCCCAGATTGTTATGGTGGTTTAAAGCCCTTATGAAAACAATCAACTGTTACATTTACATGGGTGCAAATGTATACACACACACA